AAAGGAGAGGAATTGCAAAAGCTTGGAAAGCTCGACGGTGACAGGATCCACAATATATTTGAGAAACATCTAGATGTATTTGAGAAACGTATTTTGTTTCAGTGGACACAAAAATACTTGACTTTAGAGCAAACTTGATAACACAAGCACGGGGGATTCTATAAATAAAGAAAAACTGTGATGAAAAGTATGAAGCTTCTCCAGATGGAATGAGATCACTGTAACACACAATTGTACAACCAGTGAAGGCGGAATTGTTGAAAATCACTCTGACAAGCACTTCGTTCAGTCAAATCGATTATATCACTTGCATGTCTGCCCAATTAGCTCCAATTCGAAAGTGATCGACTTGTACGCCATACCACCAACACTGTTAATAATTGGAATAAATTATTGAAAGCGCGGGAAAATTTACTCGTCCCAGGACTGCTCGTGAGTTTCGTCCTGCGAGGCTCCAATCCACTTGCCGAACATAATTCAAAGCCGCATTCCATAAGTCAAAACATAAATCAAGAAAACAACCAAAGCAATTATAAGCTAAACATTACGAACATAACTCTTAAGAACCGAACATAATTTACAAATGGTTTAATAGTATTCTATAATAAGTTCAAACTTCTGAACATAATTCAAAAGAGCGCAACATAATTTGATCAAGCGTTCGAACGTAATTCATCAGTGTGGCTGAATAAAATACGAAACACCATAACATAATTTGCATTCTAATTTTGATACTAATAACGCTTCATAGAAAAGCGGCTTGTAGTTGTAAATAAATTTCACTTGTGTGAACGAACCTGGGTTTATTTTTAAATTGTCAAAGATTTCATCAATAAAAAATATCCGTCTCAGTGATTGCCCTAAAACTTGTGAAAGTATTTTTGCGTTGAGTATTCGCGTTCCGTGGTTCGCATATTAAATTCAAAATGACAAACAATATGAGCGTGAACTTTCCTGTCCATTTCAATACAGTCTTTAATTTTCAGATGAAGTTTTATATCGTTTGCTTATTCAAGCAGAAAACGAGGTTGAACATTTAAAAA